TGTGTGTGTGTGTGTGTGTGTGTGTGTGTGTGTGTGTGTGTGTGTGTCGAGCACGGAGAACCTGCAGCACTTCATACACTACTTATATGGACTTTTTACTTTCATTAGTTCATTTATAACTGCAGTCCCCTCCAGAGCGCTACTTTATTCCTCCTGTTCTCCTGCCTCCATGAGGATGTTAAAGGAAAGTTGATGTTTTCCTGCAACTGACAATTGTTTCTTGGGTTTTATTCGGCTCATGAGTTCAGCTCTGGTGCAAGAAAAAGGGCCGAAAAACCAAAATGTGCTGAAGTCAAGTGATCAATGAATGAAGCAAAGTCAAAGTTATGAAGTGCGTGCACCATGTTTGTGGAGATAACAACGAGCTCCTCCACGGTAACGTGAATATATAAGATCAATCACGTTGATTCTCACTGATCCACATGAGAAACGGTGAGAATGTAAATCTCTGTATAATAATCGATGTTGCGCCTTTTTGAAGCGTAATATCCCGAATGAAAGCTAACGTGTATGTTTGTAGAAATGTATTGAAGAGATAATAAAGTATGATTTAAATATATACGTTGTGTGTGTGCTCCCTCTGTGCTTTACAAATGTGTTTTAAGTCAGTGTGTCAGCAGGGGGCGCCATACTGCAGCAGCACAGCACATCTACTGGAAAATAACCACTGTGCTGTTAAAGCACTGACTCATAACAAGTCAGCAGAGATGAAATGAATTAGATAAAATATTCCAGAATGGAAATATCAAAGTCCACCTGCGTGTGTGTGGTTCTAGTATTAACATGTCGTCTCCAGCTGTTCAGTTAGAAAACTAACTCTCCTTTTATTTTATAGGATCATGAAATGGACCTCCTCAAAGTGCTAAAATCAGAGTCTACACTTAGATTGATGAGACAGATTTGTCTCAATCAGGGACATAAAAAGAACAAAAACAACCTGCTGGAGGTTCATGTGAGCCATGTGGGAGCTCTGGTCTTTCTTTTGTAAAAAGGTTCTTTATTTTCTGGACTAATTGGCTGATATTAACTGAGATGTTGGACATAAATGAAGGATGGGAACTCCCTATATTGAAACGTTTATTTCAAATGTCCGTGTGTTGTGTTTTGACGGGAACTGCTTAACGTGTTGCCCGTGCTCTGGTCCGTAGTCAGCCAGGTGGAGTGATACGCTGTAAGAAAACGAGACAGTAGTGCAAGAGAAGAAGCTTTTCTTTGAACTAAAGGTAATTGTAATGCATGAACGACTCACCTGTTTAATTACATGAAAACATCCCTTTTACAAAATGTAACATTCAAACCACAGTGGAACGAGGACGAGTTCAGTTATTAATGCTGAACTGGAGCGTTAAACTACACTGAAGCTGCATCCCCATTGGTCACAACTACTACTTCTATAGTGTGCATGCAGTAAACATCAGATGTCAATCCAACCGTGACTGAGTTAAACTTCAAATTGTTTAATATTTAATGCTTTTAATCTCATCTCTCTGCAGCTGTCAAACCACCACACAAACTTTATTTACATTTTTATTCCCTTAGTTGTGAGTAGCTCTTCCATTTCTTATGTCTAGGGCTTTTATTGTGAAAGGTATGGATCTGGTCTGTGCTGCCTTTGTCAACGTTGAAATACTTAATACTACTTAGTAATAGAGTTTGTCGTCGTGGTTTGGAATATGGCCGCAACGCAACTCGTTCCGCACAACGTGATTGGTTGATGCCTTGACGTGAATAAACCTTCAGTGTGTAAAAGCATTTAGGGTGCTAACATTTGCTAATTAGCAATAAACACAAAGCATAACTTGCAGCTGATTTCATATTTTTTTTCAGTAAGTTACACAATTTCTGACCTGATGATGGCGCAAGATAAACAGTCAAGAGATCACCAAAAAGTTACAACAATTTATCCTCGGGGGGGCATGAATGTCTGCACCGAGTTTCATGTAAAAGGGTTGGTGTTGGAATTTAACCTGGTGGTGATAGGAGTTGAGCATCATGCTTTCATTTTCAACGTTGTAGCTCAGACTCTTCATATCAGGATTATTCATCACCTTATCAACCTTTTGAGAGAACTTCCTCATTGAAGTGTTTGATTGTGTAGGTTGACACCTGAATGAATCTCCAGTTTTGGTTTCATTATGAGGTCTCATTCTGGGGAGGAGGAAAAGCTTCAGTCCGAAGGAAACATCTTCTCTGGAATGTATCCTTTGGATGAGTTCTTTAACTGATTTATGTGACATGTATGCGCTCAATGCTTTTGTATTTTCTGTCCGTTTGCCACAAAAAGAATAGAGCAAAAATATTCCCCAGATCTCCCTCGTTAACCTTGACCCGACAGGAAACGGTGGCGACGAATTCAGATCTCGGTCCAACTTTGAAGGAGCCGTTGAGCCGAAAGCTCTTATCATAACGAAAGTGCAAACAGTGGAAAAATAAACCTATCAGCAGCACTGAACAACAAAAAGAGACGTTCAAGGGTCAAAACACCGATCAACTCGATTCATTTATGAACTTTAATACAAATACTTGACACAATTTTAATCACAAATCAGTTTAAAACAGTTAAATTCAGTGTGTGTGTGTGTGTGTATGTATGTGTGTGTGTGTGTGTGAGAGAGACTGAACACATAATGATATTCAGTGTGACTCAGAAGATGACCTCATCTTCTCCACCGACTCTCTGACAACTTCACCTTATAAGGAGGAGAGATGAAGTGGTTTGTTTTTATTGGTAAGTAGATTAAATGGTTAAAAGAAAGAAGCTGCTGTCATATTATATATATATATTATAATATGCTTTAGTAAGAGATTTATCTGTTAAGAATCTGTAAATGATATCCTCTAATATGATGAAAGATTCTTGAGACATTTAAATTAAGTCAGAGTTTCTGTAAACACTTAACAAACAAGCAAAACAAGATACTGTGGTTGTAATCGGATACAAGTGTTATTATTCCATAACTGGAGGCTGCTATATGAATAGATAATAAATGACAATTTAGTAAAATACAGTTTTTCATAACATAAAATGTCTTCATAGGAGGAGGAGTTATCATCTCACCTGATCATTATAGTGCCATGTTACATTTGTCACACCGAAAAATACATGTTGTATTCGGCCCTTTGAGACTCACACATTTGTTACAAACTTAATCCTTAAACGTCACCAAAAACCAAGTCTGAGCCTCCTAAAAATTCCTGCTTTACGTTGTGGGGACCAGCGTGTGTCCGGTCCCCACAACGTCACTTTGTGAGGACCCTTATTGAAATAAACCATTCCCCAGACTCTTAACCCTTAACCTGACCAACCCTGAATCAGCCTTTGACAAAGGGACTGACACACACACACACACACACACACACACACACTTTGTCTGGCAGCTGGTTAACAAACAGCCACATGATTAAAAAATGCCATGTGGTCTGCAACACTGCGAGAGTGTGTGTGTGTGTGTGCGATGTGCAAGTTTTCCTCAGAGTTTCAACACAGAGCTGCCAGTCAGCTGACAACACTCCTCTGCTGATGCTCTGATACTGAAACGTTGTGCTGATGAAATTATTTCTTACGACCCAAAATAGAGCCGAAGTCTCCACATAAACAAGCCTCACGAGGAGTGGCAGAATGGAGCCTTTGTTCCTCTCCCCAAAAAAAGAGGCCATTATTTGCTGAGTAATTGAGTGTGGTTTTCCATAAAAGCGCTGCCGGGCAGAGTCACGTTCAACGCTGCAACAACAGGTTCGGCTCACATTAGACGACCGCGGGTGTCACAGTTTGAACTTTTGTTGTGGTGCTGTTTGCTCTTCCTCTACAGTGTGTGATCGTCTTTGCACCGGTTTCGTGACACAGAGCTGGAAATCCCCCTGTTGTTGAGCTCCGAGTCTGAGCTGCTGTTTCTTTTTCCTTTTTGTTGGAGCGGCTGCATGATGCAAAATCACATCTGAACCTGTGATCCACATTGCAAAAGTGGGAAATATATAACAGATGGAAGCTGTTTGTCAGAGAGTTTGGAAAATAAACATGTTATGCAGCAGAGTTACGTGGAATTCTGCTGAAATTGTTAATCATCTGTTTTGAATTTCAGGAAATGGAAGAAGATAGTTAGTGTCTCACTGCACAGACTCAGTAACACGAGTCTCAAAATCATATTTTTAGCAAAGAAAACATATTCTGACAATAATTGATAATTGCTTTGTTCTGTTTGCTGTTTGTGTTACAGAAGTAACCGCAGCCAGGATTTAAAAAAAGCTTAAGTCTTGTGTTCAACTCCCAACCTACTAAAAAAAGTTTGACTACACAGCAGAAACATTTTGGCTGTCATCATCTTGGATTTTGGCCGTTGTCATCTTGGATTTTGGCCGTTGTCATCTTGGTTTTTGTTCGTTGTCATCTTGGTTTTTGTCAGTTGTCATCTTGGTTTTTGGCCGTTGCCATCTTGGTTTTTTGCCGTTGCCATCTTGGTTTTTGTCCGTTGCCATCTTGGTTTTTGTCCGTTGCCATCTTGGTTTTTGGCCGTTGCCATCTTAGTCATTGCCATCTTGGTTTTTGGCCATTGCTATCTTGGTTTTTGGCCGTTGTCATCTTGGTTTTTGTCCGTTGCCATCTTGGTCGTTGCCATCTTGGTTTTTGGCCATTGTCATCTTGGTTTTTGTCCGTTGTCATCTTGGTTTTTGTCCGTTGCCATCTTGGTCGTTGCCATCTTGGTTTTTGGTCGTTGCCATCATGGTTTTTGGCCATTGCTATCTTTGATTTWGGTCGTTGCCATCTTGGTTTTTGTCCGTTGTCATCTTGGTTTTAGGTCGTTGCCATCTTGGTTTTTGTCCGTTGTCATCTTGGTTTTTAGGTCGTTGCCATCTTGGTTTTTTGCTGTTGCCATCTTGGTTATAGCACAACTTGGTTTGCTGTCAAATGCGGGCTTTTTGTTGCATGCCATCCCGTCACTCTTTGAATGTTTCCCTTCACAATACTGTCAAATAAATGCCTCTATCT